ATTTTGTGGCTATGCCCGGCGGAGGATAGTATACTCCAGATCCATCAGATTTTGTTAAAAAACTGGATATTTCTTAGGTCATATAACTCTTAACCAGCAGCCGATATGCCTTAGGTTAGGCCAAATATATCCCACTTCACCTTATTATATGAATATGGCTAGCCACCCCCTCCACTCCTTATCTGCTGTAAGAGAGCCCTTACATCAGGCCCAGGGGTCAGAGTTGCTGAGATGCGATACCAGCACCTAGTGCGGCGCCACCCACAGATATGTATACATACTTCCTAGCTAGGGGAACTCCTATTCCCCAGTGATCACTCTACAATCCATAAAACACCTTGCTTGCCTCCTGTGCCCCGCCATCTAGCCTACATCTCCTTATATCTGCTTTCCATCACCATCTTTTTCAGCTGGCTACTACTGTTTGTTTTATGCTGGTTAATTGTTACGAAGTAACATTGAGATCACTTGAGTGATCAGTCTGCTCATTCATGAGCTGCATGAGCAGATGCATGATAAAGGAAAAAGCTTATTGGCACTGTATAAGTGAGTGTTATAAATACTTTCCCTATACCGACTAGCTTCACTATCGTAAGCCACTTCGGAAGGGATGAGCTTCCTAGAGCAAAGGGAACAAGAGAGAACTAGGGCTTATTGAGAGTGGAGAGATAATAAGATGTTCAGTTTTATGACTTAGGGTAGTATGAGCTTTCAAGTAAGAGAGAGTATTCAGACTAACTACTAGATGAACTAGACAGTTAAACTACAGAGAGCTGTTAATGAGGTGGGCACAGGATGTTTTTATAGACAAGAGGAAATTCGTGCTCATCCTGCTCGTCCTATGAGCACCATGAGCACAGTGAGCGCGCTCATGCCAAGACTTAGTGAGCGCTACTGCACTTTCAATTGGTCCTTTCTTCCCAAACCAATAATGATGGTTCTTGGTATTTCCCGTGTTATGGTTATAACACTATTCCTATCTTTTGAAGCACAACTACCCTAAGTTATAAAGGCTCCCGTTCGTTTGTTCATCCTCTTCCTATATACTGCAGTAGTCCTTTCCTCCCTTACTCTAGGAAGCTCATCCCTTCCTAAGTGGCTTACGTTAGTAAGGTCTTGTCGGATTAGGAAAGGATTCCTGTAAGGGATTGGTGACAGAAGTGTGAGATAGTTTGATTCAAGAATATCCGCTAGCTCCTGAGAGTCTCTTCTTTGAGCTGCCTTAAATACATGTGTGCGAAGTAGTCACGTGTGCCTCACCGCCGCACCGGCTATGCGTTGTCAAGCTCGAGGTGTCTGCAAGTACGTGATATTCTCGTGATCCCTGTTCTGTCGTGGCGCCTGTGCCACGCCGTTGTCACGCCGTACGTGACAATTCCTAGCACTAATCTACTATTAAATTCTATAGTATATCTTTTATATCTATTCCTCTTAACGCTCTGTATTACTTATTATATTTCTTTATTCACCCTCTGCCTTAAGGGCCATGTTAGGAATCCTTTCCTAATCTGACAAGACTTTGCTAATGTAAGCTGTTGGAAGGCACAACCATCATGATTGGTGGAGATTACCTCCCTAAGTATACCACTATATTAGAAGGTACAACTATTATGATTATTGGAAGGATCACCCATCATAACTGGCGGAGATTACCTCCCTAAGTCTAGTGTATCATAGCTTACTGCTTCTATATAAATAGCATCTTACATACTTTGCATCCTGCAACTTAACAATCACAAGATGTTCTTTTCACCTCATAACTCCAACATAAGCCACTTCTGTCCGTACACAGCAATGTACGATATACCAAAAAGGGAGGAGTGATAGTACTAACCGAATATAGTATGGAGAACCCCTTAATCTTAAGGGCTATAAAGGGAGAGGGAGAAAACAAAATGTATGAGAGAGGGAGATTGAAGAAGAAGAGAGATTTTTGATATATAGAAAGGTACCCTTTAGTACAAAGACTTCGTTGGTCTTTTAGCCTTTCGTGGCCCTGTCTTTTGTGACGCACGATCTATACCAACACTGATCAGTGGATTAATCAGGATTCAAAGAGAAGCAAGGAGGATCGAAGAAATCTTAGTTGCTGTACAATCAAAAATTAAGAGATACTACTGACAAACTATTGCACAACCCGCGACAATACGACAATCCATCACACGACAAGCAAGACGATATAAAATGCCCCCCAGACCAAGATCAATCATACAACCGGAACATGAAGGAGGATCATCTGGAGTGAGCCAACAAACACAAACACCAAATGAGGCTGTATAATCACCCCTAGATAAAGAAGAAGAGTTTGAGAGCGGTATCTCACTTCATGAGCTCGCACGAGTCACTAAAATCCCAAAAGTCACGATAGAGGGAACCGGTAGACCTCAGTAAATGGGATAAAAAATATATACCTAAAGAAGCATCAACTATCCTTCTACAAATAATGTTCGCACGTACAATCATTGAAGCAATCTGGCTAGAAGAAAAAGGGAACCAACTCCTTAGATTATACAGATCAGATTTTAAAGATTGGAGAGTAGAAGAGTTTGTAAAGATCAATCGTACACTACAGAAGGAAATGATCCGCATTCTTATAGAAGGAGGAATTGAAATACAGGAAGGTCGTACAATTCCAGAGGGACTAGCTAACCTAGCTGACCCTGAAGCACGTACAACAAGAGAACACCCACAACGACCTCAAGCGCAACCCTACCTACGATCATCTCCACCAATCCGAATGTCAATTGAGAACAGAACCAGGCACCAAACCCCATACGAATATTCATATACGGAATCAAGCCAACAGGATACACAGTACAGAGCATCAAGTGGTGTACGACAGATGCAACCCGGAATACAAACCACTCAGGAAGTCCACACATACCCAGTCATGGAACGTACGACATAAAAGAATACAGTTCTACCAAATCAAACACTTCCGTATAATATTCCACTAAGATACCCAATACTATCTGCACACCTGGAGCCAAAGAAATTGATTACATTTCAGAAGACATGGAGACCTGAACGAAGATATACTGGGAAAGTGTATGATATACTGTACGACAAGACACGAATGTTTGTATAGGCATATAAAAGTCTTAAGATCGATAAAATATAGTACCATGCAGTCTTCCTATATATCCTAAGTGATCATGCAGAACAATTTTTCCTAACACAGATTGACCCTGAGAAAAGATTTGATAAAATATACAATATGCTGGATTCATATTTCAATACCAATATCAACTATAGCCAATACTGGACTGACTGGACATCCATGACGTATAAAGGAATTCGCGCCGAGTTTCCAGACAAGACACCGCACGAAGCACTTGATTATATGCTTAACAAACTTCAGATAATACAATGTGCATTAGGTGCAGAATACCAAGGTGAAATCCAATCACGTACAGCAGTTACCCGGGCATATCAAGGTATAGCAGCATTTACACCTGCTTTAATCTCAGCAAAACCTATATGCGAAGGATTTTTCGCAGACTTATATGCCGCATTCCAGATTTCCATCAATATATCGCCTTATACATTCCACCGGGAACAGGAACCAGCAGATATTGGATTTATTGACTGAAGATATATTACAAATACAAACCAAGGATACTTACATAAAAGGAGAACATGGCAGAGAGGATATGTACAAGATCAGAACAACCAATTGATACAAAACCGACCCCAGTCAAGATTACTACCACGTACAAAAAAGAAGAAATGCTTCATTTGCCGAAAAGAGGGATGCTGGTTAACCAAGCATATACAACAGGAAAGAGATCGTGCGAGAGACCAGTACAATATAATATGTAAAAACCAAGGATATGACACACCAGATGACGATGATTTCGAATCATTTCTCCAAACCTGTGAAGGATGGCAACCATACAAAGACAAAGATGAAGAGAACCTAGAAGGGGATATAGAGGAAGCGGTTCAATACCTTACAGAATAAGCATTTATCCACCGTGCAACAGGCGAGGATATTATACTAGGGAAAATGGTTCATATTCTGAATAGCATCACGTGACATAGGGGCATGGGCCTTAGGTATCATATGATATAGTAGGGATATATAAGAAGAGGAGAATAAGGGAGATAAGAAAAAAGAGAGAAGGAGGCACCAGACAAGAACAGAACAACAGAGACCAGCCTTGCTTTGCCTTATACAGAACTTTGCTTTGCTTTGCCCTGCTTTACCCTGCTTTGCCTTGCTTTACTTTACCTTCCCTTTACTTTATCTTCCCTATTATCCTATCTTACTGCACCTTTATCCTAACTATCTTATCCTACTCCCAGGCTTCTTTACGGCTCCCATCTGTAGGAGCTTCTCTCTCTCTTGATTCCTTACCCTCAGGAAGGCCTTGACATCGAGTGTCCTACCCCCTGAAGTGGCGGTCAGCCTAAAACCTTTACAATTGGCGCCCGAAGTGAGGCTGCACCAAGAATCCAAGGGAGGATAGTCTCTACTGGTGATGCCGGAGATGCAGCAGGTTGAGATGAAAAATAAGAGTATGGACCTACAGAGGAGACCAATAAGAAGAAAGATATGGCGATATCGGAACTTATTAAGATTATCACACCGGAGGTATTATTCCTTAGGTAGTGATAAAAACAAAACTAAGGCTTCACCGCCTAGTCTCCTCTGGTCATATGAAGATATAGCCGGTTTTCTAAGACTTTTCTATTATCTGATTTTAGAATATATCATATTACAGATACTAAAAGAGTTGAAGTTTATGATCTATCTCCTTGGCCTGGTCTGGGTTGGACTATATCATCCAAAAAATATTGAGAAGGATGATAGTGGCATGCGAGACAAGAAAAAGGAGGTGAAGAAAATGGCTCATAGAGAAAGGGGAGAAAGAGGGGAGAACAAGAGAAAAAGAAGGAGACTTGCTTCAGACCCGAGATTGCTTTGTTATACACTGCTTGATTATTACTACCACTACCTCTTTGCAAGAAGTAACTGTTTTAAGATATTGAAAGATATGGCTTTGAATACTACTGAGGAGAGTACTATTGAAGTACCTGTCGCTAGGCAAGAAAATGTGAGGGGTCCAGAACCTACCTCATATCAGGAGACAGAAGTTGCTCGCCTCCTGCGGTTACTTGTTCAGCAACAAGTGACTAGGCCTGGCAAGGTACGCAGGAAGGAGGCGCTTTGGTTCACTGGCCTGGATGTCAGTGATTGGTTGGAAGAATTCGAGGTTGAGCTAGAACAAGAAGGGGTACCCAAGGAAAGCTGGTGTAAAGAGCTGGTGATCAATACCCAGCCAGGATTGAGACCGAGAATCCGTTACCTGGACAGATATAAGTTGAACAACTGGATGGCCTTTCGAAGGAGCCTGATGGACGAGTTCAGCGACTCAGATGGCCGGGTTATGAAAAGAAGTGAATCATACTTGAGGATGCTGGCTAAGGCTGTACGGGAAGACAACATCATGACTCCCTTAGCATACATCACCGAGTTTCGCAGAATAGGCCTGGAAATGCTACGCGAGGGAAGGATAGGAAACTTCCAGCTAGTCCAGATATTTTTAAAGGGTTTCTCAGAGAGTCGGCGAGATCAGATCCTGGATAGCATCAGCAATAAGCTTACCCCCTCTGGTGAGCGGCGACGAGCTATTCCGGACTTTGCAAGTGTGGTTGCAGCGGCAAGATAAGTTACGTAAAGTGTCCAGTACCGACAACAGATTGAGAAGGCTGGTCCCATGGAGGGGCAACTGAAGACTGTAATAAAAACTCAGTACCCAGGGATCTTAAGAAGAAATGCCGACCCCTCAAGACTGGATGAGGACCTTCGGCAAAGTATTGACAATTTACGAGTTGGTGCGGCGACGATGGACAGCCTGAAGCAGCGCATAGCCATCTATGAGGATCCAATCCTTAAGAGTGGAAAGCAGGATAGCACGCAGATAGGGCATATCATTAACTATGTTGAGAGTCTGTTCCCGAATGCGCATCTGAAAGCCGCGGTACCGAGGACGGAAAACTCGGCCACCGGAACGAGCTCGTATAGACCAGCAATGCCATCTCAAGATCAGACTCCAGTAGAGCTTTGGTGCTGTGCGAATGATAACCAGCCTCACCGACATGCAACAAGGTGCCCACTGCTCATGCCCCTAATGGATAGCAGACAAATCCATTAGGATCGTGAGGCACAAAGGCATTTCGCTGGGGGCCGGTCGGTAGTGGCCAAGATCTGATACCGCTGAACAGATATAGTCAGGTCAAGAAGACGCAACGTGAGCAGATTAATGAGCTCATGAAGCAACGAACCGCAGGAAGGCAGGCTGCTGGGGTTCAGTTGATCTATGGGAATACTGGCGGCAGTTATTTTGCGGAATACGATCGAGTCGTGCGAGAAGTAGGGATACATGTGGTTTCTGAGAGTCAGCCATCTGGAATAAGAGCTACTGTCAAGACTGTAAGGAGCGGTACCTTATAAGAAAAAGAAGAGCCAGCTATGGTGACTCAGGTGGCTGACCGGGTAGGGAGCAAGCCTACCCTGAAGAACTACCTAAAAGAAGTCCTTTATGAGCAGACGGTGGTTTCGTTCACTGAGCGCCTGATGAACAGTACTATCGAAATCTCTCTTATGGAATCGTTACAGCTTATGCCTGAGATCCGGAATGCCATCTATCAGTCTCTACCTGGTCCAATTGCCGACGTTGTGAAGGACCAGCTAGCGGCTGCTAAGGAAGCGCGTCGAAAGCGAACTGAGGAAACCGATGCTCAGAAGGCTGGAGCGAAAGTAAAGAGAGAGGATATGATTATTGGCGCAATATATAGTGGTGATCTTATAGTCTGGGAACTAACAAGTGACTATATTGCTTATCAGGACAGACTGCAAACCCGACAGAGAATCTCAGCACCTCTACCAATGGTGGCTGTACATGTTGGAGGGTCAAGACATGAATCCAGGGTACTAATAGATACTGGAGCATGAATTAACTGCTTAAGCGAAGAATTTGCAAAAGAGCGAGGCCTAGTGCTCAATCAGATCCATGGAGGCATGACAGTCCTGATGAACATGAGGGCCGCCAACAAAGGAGCTATGCACTGCATTGGTTGGGTATCTGCGCGCGTTAATATTGCTGGTTCCGATATCATATATGATCCGGTTATTTTTGCTATGTTCAGAAATCTTAGTCTTGAAGTGATCCTAGGTACTGATTAGATATTATTAGCCCAGCTTGAAACACACTATATGGGGGATGGAAGTTGTATCTATCGAGCGCATGCACCTGATGGGAGCAGGAGCGTATGCTGGCAAGCTGCTGTAGTAATCTCTGAATATCTACCAATGGATAATAAACCGCAAATTAAGGTGGATATAGAAGAGTTATCAGGAAACGACTAGGTGGCTTGCATTCTGGAGGCAATGTCGCCTTGCTGATTCCGGAAAATTCAAGATAAGTAGGGTTTATACCATATAATCAGTAGTGGCATAATAAGAGTATAGAGCTTAAATAGGTCCAGTCTTCAAGTATTGTGGACTTGAGGACTATGATGGGGGAGATGAGACGTCAGAAGAAGGCAATGAAGATGCAGATAAAGAGCTTAGGTGAGAAATAATGGGTTGAACAAAAGAGTAAGGAAATACGCACCCTGACATTTTATAAGAAAAAGGTGGATAAAGTGCGGCCTGCTGCAGCCCCACTAGAGGATGGCTCAACTCCTGGTAGCGATGTTGATTAGTTCAAGAAAGTCCTAGTAGCGCACAGACAGCAAGCCATACCGGAAGACATGACTGCGTTAGATGAATGGTTTGAGCCTAGGACTGCATGGTTCCCTCATGCGGCCAGGCTCACGCAGGAAAGGCTACAGGCAATGAAGATCAGCTCCGGCTTCACACCGCAGGAAAAGTTATTAATAGAGGAGGTATTGTTCAGGAGGGAGGCTGCACTCAGCTGGGACTTCTCGGAAATTGGGAGGATTAAACCTGAGGTGGCTCCCCCATAGGTTATATGCACCATCCCCCATGAACCTTGGCAAGCGAAACCGTTCCATGTCCTGAAAGCGCTTAGCAAAACAGTAACGGAAATGCTTCAGGATAGGATATCCTCCGGCCGTTTGGAAAGAAGTCATGCGCCTTATAGAAATCCTTTCTTCCTTGTTAAAAAGAAGGATGGGAACTATAGGCTTATTAATTCCGCGACGTACACCAACCGGGTGACAATATGAGATGCCTTCGTACCCCCTTCAGCAGATGAGTTTTCCGAACGTTATGCTGGTTGCATGCTTGTAACAGTTACAGACTTCGTTTCAGGATATGATCAGCTAGCGCTGGCAAGAGAAAGCAGAGACCTAATTTCATTCCAGACGGAGCTCGGTCTCTTACGCCAGACTACCTTACCACAGAGAGCTACCAATTCTGTCGCCCAGTTCTGCTATGCAACCTAAGCTATCATGGCACCAGTACAACATCATACTGGGGTATATATGGATAATGGAGTGTGTGGCGGCCCGAGAGCGACATATAATAGTAAGGAGGTACTGCCAGGCATGTGTCGCTATATATTTAAGCATTTACAGCAGGTCAGTGAAATGCTTTTGGCAGTCAAATGCTCAGGGGCAACCATCTCCGGAAAGAAACTGGAAATAGAAGCTGAAGGAGTAACTATTATCGGCTACTATTGCGATACTAATAGGAGACACCCTAATCACGCTAAACGAGAAGTGATTCTGAACTGGCCTAAATCTATAACCTAGAAAGGAGCCAGAGCATTTATTAGGATCTATATATACTATTGTGTTTGGATCAAAGATTTTGCAATAATTACTAAGCCCATTTTTCAGCTGTTTCAGAAGGGACAGAAGTTTGTCTGGGGTGAAGAACAGCGGGCAGCAATGCGAGTGCGTCAGAATGCTCTAACCAGATCGCCGGCTCTACGACCTATCGATTATGGCGAAGGCGTCGGGGAAATTATTGTGAATGTTGATGCAAGCGGAGATGGCTATGGAGGCACCTTAGGCCAGGTGCAGCCTGATGGTCGACGAACGGTGGCTCAGTATAAGAGTGGGATTTGGTCAGCATCGGAATGAAAATGGGATACTATTGATTAAAATCCTTAAGAAATTCAAGCTTTACCTGTATGGGGTTAAGTTTGTTGTAGAGACGGATGCCAACATATTAGTTGCTCAACTGAATCGGCCTGCCTCAGATATTGCTGGAGCATTAGTTACCAGATGGCTAGCGTGGCTATCGTTTTAGGACTTCAAAGTTCGTCATGTTAAGGGGATAAAGAATTCAGCAGCTGACGGGTTATCACGAAAATATGAGGGCCTTATGACAGAAGATATCTCCCACCATGAAGAAGAGGAGTGGCTAAATGGCACTCTGGGAGCATTATACTTATCCAGACCGCGATTCGTTACTTATGAAAAGATATTCTTTCTAGGAATACTGGACAATGGAGGATCTGATGACTCAGCCAGTGGTGATGATAGGCTTGATCGGCCTATATATGGAGTGGAATATCAGCTTATCAGAGAGTACCTGAGTACCGCCTAACGTCCAGCAGGCTTACCTGCAAAGGAGTTCCGCAAAATCAGGAGGCTTGCTACGAAGTATCGCCTTGTCAGCTCGACTCTCTTTCGAAGAGGCCGTTTGGGTCAACCTGACAAACGAGTGGTCGAAGGCCGGGATGAACAAGCTGAGATTATTGAGAAGCTCCATAATGAGTATGGGCATAAGGGGCGAGAGGCCACCTATCGTTTGATAGTCATGCGGTATTGGTGGGAAAATCTCTATGGCGATATAAAACGGTATGTATGAGCCTGTCGCGAATGCCAGCAGAGCGATGGGAGAAGGTAATGGGAACCCCTGATTGCTCGCATGGGGCACGCACTCGGTTAGCGATGGTCGGTGGACTGCACGAGTGTGTCTGGAGGAACTTGGATAGTCCAAGCTAGAGAAGAGCTATCTGGATGGCCTGAAGCAAGGGTTCTGCGAGGGATCCCGACATCTGAACAAGTTGCAAGGTTCTTAAGGGAGGACGTCCTTAGTCGATGGGGATGCTTCGAGCAGCTTGGTTATGACGGCGGTGCCGAAAACAAACTCTGGACCGAGGCACTGCTGAATCTGTATCAGATCAGAAAGGTTCAGATATCTCCTTATAACTCTCATGCTATAGGAGGGATAGAGATCAAGCATAAGTCACTTCTAGTAGCGCTCATGAGGGTAACGGATGGAGGGAGACTGCCATGGAAGCAATACCTGCACTCTGTGCTTTGGGCAGATCGCACAACAGTAAAGGACCAGACAGGTATGACACCGGCTCGACTGATGCTTGGGGAAGAGCATGTTCTACCAATTGAGCTCGAGCATTGAACATGGCAGACCCTGCCCTGGACCAGCGTGCGCTCTACTGCAGACCTGCTAGAGTTACAAGCCAGGCAGATTGACCGGAGGGACGATGATATTGAGTAAGCTAAAGCTCAGCTGGAAAGAATGCGAGGAAAGGCAAATGAGCGCTGGGAGGATGACCGCTATGGCAACAGGAGGAATAAACCCTTGGAGGAGGGAGACTTCATCCTACTGCATAACACTCGAGTTGTCAAGGATTTCGGGAACAAGCTCGCATTTATATTGCTGGGTCCATATCGCATTCGTTCAGTTCTGCAGCTCGCCGAAACTGAGGAGTCCACTGGAACATACCTGCTAGAGGAGCTTGATGGAACCGTCATACGTACACCAATATGAGGCGACCGGCTGAAGAAGTTTATTATGTCTGAGAACACATTAGTAAGGCAAACTAATGCTAATCACCGCTATCGAATTAAGGACATAGATAAGAATAATGAAAGGGCCGCGATACCAAGTGAGAATGAATCCACTGGGTCAGATGAGGCTGCGGGCTTAGAAAGCAGCGAAAAACGGGACCCACCCTACTGGCCAAACACTCGATATCAGGCGCGTCAGCGACGAGCTAAAGATGTAGGTCAATGGTTTGTTGAAATAGATATCCGAGACCCACCGGGCTTCGACCGATCTCAATATTAGGATTTCAGCTGTGTTTTTGGTTTGAATGGAGCGCGGTGGTAGTGTTACGCAAGAGGGAATATGCTCGAAAAGGCGCTATTCCTGATTCGATTTCACCGCGCGGTGCGGCGAAATCATGCTCAACTCTGATTAGTCCGTACTGTCCTGGCTAGTGACGCTATTCCTAATTTGATTTCGACGCGCAGCGCGGCGAAATCATGGTCGAACATGTATAAGGTTTGCCTAAGACTGCAATACAGCGCTACACTTCAGGGGAAAGACCGATATACGCAATTACAGGAAGGATTCGGGATCATTAGCTCTCTAGACACAATCTCTGAACTAGAAACCATGCGGGATATTGAGGCACGAAACGAAAGAGCTTAGGGATTATTAACCACACTTTGCAAGAAAGGGGAAAGGTATTGCGAAGCAGCGGCAAAATTGGCTCAGTGGATGGAGGCACATGGCTGGAGGCCAAATCCAAATGATTGGAGGATGAACGCGATCAGTGCTGGCCGCAAGTCTTGGAATGAGAAAGAAAGCCTGATTCTGAAGATACGAGCACTATACCTATTAGCTGCTGAAGTCCTGGCGGATCCGCACACGGTATTCATCAAGCATCCCGAGTAGGGTGTCCCACGGTACGGTATGGTACGGTATTTACCTATGTCGTACCGTACCGAATACCGATCGGTATATACCGTCGCGGTATCGGTATCGGTACGGTATCTACCAAAAATACCGTACCGTACCGATGATACCGTTTCTGGTAGTTTTTTATGGTAGTAAAAGTTGCAGATTTTAGCATCATTTGAACACTTTTTAAATATATTTTATATAAGTATAATTATGAATAGCTATTATATAGATTACTTGAATTCAGATATAAACAAATAAATTATAACTCTAAGAGATATTATATAGAGACCTAGGATATAGATATATATATATATAGATACTATTAACTAGCTATTTGTCACGCAACCACCCTTTGCGCATGAGGATCGCTCAAAAAGACAGGCTATACTAGCTCAATTAGCTAGTATAGCTGGGTGGTATAATATATATACCCTTACACTATTATTTACACTAGCTAATTAAGCCTGTATAACTGTTTAGACTACCTACACCAAATATATATCATATAACTATATAAAGTGGAAACTCCCTCTGGTAATAAATCTATAACATAAGCCTTTATTATAATATGCGCAAACAGTGACTGTTAATCCAGAATGAGATATATGATATATTTCTTAAATAACAGAATGAAAATATTAGTCATTCAGGTATTAGGTAATAACCGAGGTATTCAACTAACCGAGGTTGTATGAAAAGCGGGGTAATTGGTCTATATAAGCAACAGGACCTACCTCAGTTTTGTAAAGTAAGTAAAACAAAATATATATCTTAAATATATAAGTTTTCTTCTATATAAATCTTAATAAGCATCCGCCCTCCAATAGCTTAACAGTAACTACTCTTGACTTTGAGCGTGCCATTTTTGTGACATGTGTTAGCTTAAGTTATGGTAATTGTTATAGTAGTAACGTGACTTTGACTAACTGTAAAAGGGAAAATAAACAATGGCGCACAGACCATATAGCTCTGATATCGGTATTGTTGCCTAGCATTAGATCTGCACTAGTTACTTTAAGTAAATTTCCATACTATTGTTAAGCTATTGGAGGGCGGATGCTTATTAAGATTTATATAGAAGAAAACTTATATATTTAAGATATATATTTTGTTTTACTTACTTTACAAAACTGAGGTAGGTCCTGTTGCTTATATAGACCAATTACCCCGCTTTTCATACAACCTCGGTTAGTTGAATACCTCGGTTATTACCTAATACCTGAATGACTAATATTTTC